ACAACAACAATAATGTATAGTGCATGCCAATTTAGTTTAGACTAGTTTAGTTTTAAAGGCATGGAAAGAATTCAAGAAAATAAAAATATAAATATATATCAAAGTGGTTACATTTCATGGAGAGTGAACTTGCAAAGTATAGAGCCTACTTTTTCATTTTCTCCCCAGCTAATGGAAAAGTAGATGCCAGAAACAGCTGCTGTACTCACGTTCTGGATTTCCTCTGGTGAAAGGAGCTCCCCTAGATGAGCATAGGTGCTGCTCTCATCTATATTTCCTTCTGTTTCTTCTTTCTTAACTTGCCCACCTCTCTCTTTCTGCTGATAGTTTCTTGCATCTGTTTTCTCCTCGGGTGTGTTTCTTTGTTCGTCCTGGTTCTCACTATCCTCCTCGTTTTTTGGACTTTCCAGCTTGGTTTCATTTATTTGGGGTTCTTTAATGGTTGTCTTATCTCCACAGTTTTCTTCATCAGCGTTTTCAAGTCTACCTGTATTTTTACCTTTCCGCTGTTTATCAAAAGTCTCCCTATGGGTTTTCTCAATACCACATACTTTTATCAATGACTCTGATCTCTCGCCTGTCTGCTCTGTAGCATCTTTCTTCTCTTTGAGTCCCCTCTCTCCCTCTCTGTTGTCATTCTGCGTCCGTCTTTGTTCGGTCGGTCCAGCCTTGTCCAACATTCCTACCTGCATGTCCTCCATTGTCATCATCAACAGGCTGCTGATTATGTTGTGAAATTCTACATTGTCCTCGTTGGTTTTTGTGTCTGGTTTTATCTTTCTCTCACTCTCTTTGCTTTCTTTAGGAAACTCATTATCAACCCTTGTATCTGTCCTCTTTGCACCAGGTTCATTCTCTTCAGATTTTGCCTGCTGTAAATCTTCTGTGCTTTCTGTTTTTAATGGGATCTCCTGTCTTTCGACTGACTCTTTAAAGATTTCCCTGTATTTATTGTATAATTGCCCCATTCCAGTTGTTTCATTTCCTTTTACTCCCTTACTTTTCTGTTTGCCAGCTGGAACATCCTCAAACTTTAGCTGACACTTTTCCCTCCCACTCCACCGTTGCTCCCTTTCTTTAGTTCCATCTGTCCAATCAAACATCTCCATGTCTATGTCTCCAATCGATTCCTGTTTTCCTTCATTATCTTCCAGTCTGTCCAGCTCATCCTCAGTGGAGGAAAATTGGGAGGCGCTTACTAAACTGGCCAAATCCCGCAGCTGAGTTTTCTCTGGTTGTGCCCTCCCCAGCTCGTTTTCATCCACTTTATCCTCCTCTCCTTTTTCCCCCTCGTCCAGCTCGTCCTCAGTGGATGAGTACTGGCTAGCATTGACTTCATAAGCTAATCTACATAATTTAATAGCCAGATCTTCCTCTTTCCAATTATCTTCTTCCTTGTTATTCTCTTCTAGACCTATCCTGTCCAGTTCATCCTCAGTGGATGAGAACTGAGTTGCTCTGACTTCTTTTTCCAGCTGACACAGCCTAAAGGCTATTCTCTCTGTCTGTACATGCTTATGTCCTTCTTTAGTTATATCTGTTTCTCTGCTCGATTCTTCCTCACTTTGTCCCACTCCATCTGGCTCATCTTCAGTAGAGGAAAAGTATGCAAGGCTGTCCTGAGAAAGAAAACTATATAATCTGTGTTTGACCTCCTCCTCCTCACCATCATTCTCTTCTTCACCTGCTCTTCCTTCTTTCCAGTCAAAATTCATCTCATACTCATTTTTTGTTTTCTGCCAGACTGCGATCCATCATTACTTGTATCTATTTCCTTGTCTCGTTCTTTTTCGCCAAGCCCAAACTCATAAACACTCCCTGGGCCTTTGTGCCGTTTGGTGGTGAATTTACTGACATTCTGGTTGACGGGCTTTTCAGTGATATCATTTTTGGGATTAAAAGGATCAGGAGTTGTAGTTGCAGAGGAATGTGAATAAAAACGGCCTTTGTTGTTTAGATCCTGAAAATATATAAAATGACACAGTTAAAAATACAAAGCTGTGAAAGTATTTTTCGTCAATCACAGTCAAAAGCTTCATTAGCTTTAAATTTTATATTAATACACAGAAATGCACTTTTTATGTTACATACAATAATCAGAAACCTGGAAGCTTGATTTATTGTTAAATAACCAAACTCTGATTTAGACTTCTCCATAACTAAGTCTTATATGTTTACTGCGAGCCCTCGTCATGGGTCTCTGTTCTTCTCTCTATTGTTTGTCTGCATTGGATTTTACTAATGAGGATCAGAGTAAACAGAACTAAAAAGAAATGCAAATCAATACCAACACTTTTCCTGTTTTTATTTGTAAATCACCTTATAGTTTGTTTTATTCTACAACATTAAAANTATATATATATATATATATGTGTGTTTGTGTGTGTGTGTTTGTAGGAAAATTACATCTTTCATTTATTATATTCATGTTAATTTACACTTTGAGTAAGCTTTAAAAAAGTAATCTCCAGGTTACCATTCCAAAGTTTTTTCTGTAGAATTTCATTAATCCATCCAAATCATGAAACCTTCCTTTTTTGTGGCATCTGTTGATACAAATAGTTTTCCTCCACTTTAGGAATGCAAAGATCCAGGGACAGGGCAGGGGGTCAGTGGGAATCGTACTGCTGCCACCTGGCCCTCGATTGTCCTCATGGAGGAGGTATTAGGACGGAAGCCCTCTGTTGCCCCACCTGTCCTAATTGCCTCCATCCCTGAGGACACAGCAGGGCCAGGTGCTGCAGAGGCTGGGCAGCATCGGGGTGACGATGAGGAAGAGAATGAGGATGAGGGAAGAGGGAAAGGACGAAGAGAAGTGAGTGACGAGTTGGTGGATTCAATCAGAGAGGATATCAGATGGCAGAGGGAGGCAGGAAAGGATGGACAGATTATTTCATTTATTGGAGAGGATGGTGGACAGTTGTTATTATTATTATTATTTTTTTTTTTTAACAAGTTGAGGTTCTGTGTTGCTGTTATTATTAAATTAAATTATTAAATTGTTTATAAAAGTTATTGCTGTCGGTGTGTTCTTAAAGTCTTTTAACCTTTTTACATTATCTGTTTCATCACTTCTTTATAATTTAAGTAAACTTAGAACAACTTCTCAGTGACATCAGTTTATTTTTAGAGAAGCAAGTATTTAACAATAAACTATTAAAAAATATTTTAACTACTGACATTAGATTTTAAAATTAACTACTACAACTATTTACAGAAAATAGAAAAAAAATATTACTAGAGAACATATATATATATATATATATATATATATATATATATATATACACAATTGTGACTGAGCAGGAGTCTCTGGTGGTGCTGCTGGACTGGATGCAATGCCACACAGATGACCTTGGAGTCTTCTGACTGTGAGTGGGACATCATCTGGGGGGTGGGGGGGGATGCCTCTCTCCACTGTTCACCACATTGTCCATCAGGGTTTGCAGGGCTGACCCAATCGACGGCTGCCATGTTACTACAAAAGTTTAAAAAGACGCAGAAAAGAATGACTTAACTAAAACTGTTTTCATAACCCTGAAATGAGAACAGCTAAAATGTGATTCTACTTGCCTTCTAAATGTAATGGTGGTCAGGTAGACCCTCCTCCAGGGGCAGACACCTCAGCAGACAGCTGGTCCCTCCATGGAGCACCACTGACTGCCTCCAACACGTTCTCCCCTCCTCATCCTCTAGGGCCGTGAGGTCACCTGCTCCCAGGCAGATGTTGTGCAGGACAGCACATGCTGTTATGACCTGTAGAAAAAACTTTTATTCAGTCATTTACTTTTATTCAGTCATCTATCTTTTTTTCATTATCTTTATTACATGATTTATTAGAAATTAAATTGTACTTCATGTAGATCCACTATTTAACTTATTTTTTTCGTTTTTATATTTTGATTTTTTTTCCTGTATTATGTTTATATATATATATATATATATATATAAA